AGCATTATCAAATAGTTCAGAAGAACCTCAACTTGATGAAGAACAAAAAAAATGGTTTGTAAATTATTATTATTATTATTTTTTTATAAGGAAAAATTTTAATCATTATTTATTATAATTTTATGTTTAATATATTTATAATTTATATATGTTACAATATATTTATAATTTGTATGTTTTAATATATTTAATATGTTTATAATATTTATAATATAAATAATTATTTTCAGGTTATCAGAATTAACTGTCGATATTGTAACAGGAGTTTTATTCAGTGGTAGACCAGTTACTACAATGTCACAACCTTTGGCTGTTTATTTGAACAAAATTGGTGATGTGGCAATCGCTAATAAAACGATCTTGGATTAGATAAATGAAATTTCTTTAAATGTGAATTTTCTTTGCTTAAATCAAATAATTCAAGCCTTTATTTATTTTTCTTCATACTAACAATTATTTAAAAGCTAAATGTATATCTTATAATTTTAGTGATATTTTTTATTCTAATTAATTAATTAGTTAGAAAGTTAATAAAAATAAATATTTAAATATTTAATCTTATCCATGAAAAAAAAAACAAATGATGTTATTTTGTTTAATAGCAGCAAAGTGCCACAAACAGACTCTAGGGGATCAAGATACCAAAGTTATACTGTGAGACCCCACCACATTTTTTTCGTGATTTATGAAGGTAAAATGCATCACTCACAACTTGATATTCATGGTGACGAAAAATTAGGTATACTTATTTAAAGTCACAATTCCAGGTAGTGGTGTAACACTGGTAAAATCTCTAATTAATTGAATAAATCAAGTTCTAAAAAAAAGCAATTATAAAAAGAAAAACTATCATTACAAATCGCTATTTTTATTATGATTGATTATGTATGATAAACCAGCAAGATTAATTATAAATGCATGTATTTAGCATTATATTATCATTTGAATACAATTTAGAAATTAACCATATCATCATGCTCCCGTTTAAAGCAAGCATCACATACCTTGGAATTAAGAAACGAGGAATAGATTGTCATTATGTGATCAATCCTACCAGCTCAATCGTAATCGACAATTTTAATGTTTTAACCCATCGTTGTTATCCTTCACAAATCTCGCACCATGCATCTTTCTAACAACCTCTTTCCAAGCATTTTTTTTTTCTTGATTTCTGTAGGTTCATGTAGAGACAAATGTTCATAATCGCTATTAGTGAAAACTAAAGAGTTTCGCAACTGTGCGAAAGTCAAAAGGTTTCGCCCACAAGTCGAAACTAGTTTTGACTTTTGATTCGGTTTTGACATATAACTCTTAATTTTACTTTCGCCCCTTCAAAATAGTTTTGGCAATCGCTATCTAAAACCTCCATAACAACCATATACCATCCTCCCAGAACATTCTTATAACCAAAAAGGTAAGGGACAATGCCCAAAACTGCGTAGAATTTGTGCGCATCTATTCGATATCGCTCCGCAAACTTCACAAGTAGTTACCTTGGGACATCGTTATTGCTTTCTTGTTCAACAACAAACAGTAATTTGTGTTTGTACAGTTGCTTGAGTAGCAAAATTGAATACTTGTTAAAGTGTGAAATCGACAAAATTAAACCGGTACAACGTCAATTGATATTTTTGGTTGAATTCTTTATTTTTTTGTATGTAATTTTGATACTGTTTTTTGATAAAAAGGATTTTTTATAAAAGTTTCATTCATTTTAAAAAAAATCCATACCACACCATATTAAATAATATTTAAAAAAATAAATTTTGTCATCGATATTCAATTCTAATTGCTTCATTAAAGCAGTCGCTGCAATTGTCAATAGTATATCTGGCACTGCGATATATAGAACAGCAATAGGCGGTTTCGTGGAATTGTTTGTTTAAGGGATTTTTTAATAACAATAAAGATAAGAACATCACCAATTTTAACGAAAAACCTTTAATTGTTCTAATTGGTCGTTTTTGAAATTTTTTGTTTACATTAACTAAATGTTTTTAAAATTTTAGCTACATTTAACTCAAACAATTATCGTTAATGACAATGAGGGGTTTTCCAAAGAAGACTTTCCAATAGATCAAAGTCAAATTTTGATATTTTCTGGTGTGGTGCAAAACAATTCTTATGTTAAAGACAACACAAGAGACAATTTAATTGTCAAACGAAGAATCTATAATATAACTACCAAAAACTCGACTGATTCCAGCATATATGTTTCTTATGAACATAATAATAGATATTTAACACATTCTTAATTTAGTTTTTTTATTATCTGTTATAAAAAGCTCACACACGATGCTCAGTTAAATAGTAATAGTATTTTTGACCCATCACATACGATGGGAAGACTTGGTAGACAAAGTAAAGAGTATATAACGAAAAAAATTTTTTATTGGTTTTAAAGGAAAATGGTTTTTATGAAATGCAAAGTATTGGTAAGATATCATCGGTAAAAAAAAAATTATTTATTAAAAAAATTATATGTTTACTGTGTGATAAATTTAATCATCTTTACGGATTGTTAAAAAATTGATCAGCGGCTGCCTCGGATTATTATAATTAACGTACAAGTAAGGTCGGCAATTGTTGTATCCACTACCAGCTTAAAGGCATGACAATCCAAAGGGGTCAATCGTGAAATTCATGGTGTGCGAGCATATTCTAACACAATTTGTCGCGATCTTAATGCTGCGTTGAACATCCTTCAAATGTTTTTGGCAATGGCATGAGCCGAATATTTTTAAAAGAAATAACAGAAACATAATGACCATTTCCGGTTTACATAAGGAATGACAGCTGTATATAACAAGAAACACTTTTGATAAATCTTTTAAATAATAAACTCTTTTAAGTAAAACTCTTTTAAATACTTTAAATATTTTAAATTATTTTACAGTACAATATTTAAAATATTGATTAAGAAAAAATTTTTTTTCATTAAGGTTTAATAACATAATTCTAAAGTGTTAATGAAAGTGAGAGGAATAAAGATGCTAGTTCACGTGAGGATGAAAATTGATCTATTTGTGATTGGTAAGTTGTCAGATGGCCCATACACAATTGGAACAACGCCTACTAAATATGCATTTAATAATAAAAAGAATAATAGTAGTAATAGTGAAAGTTAGACTTTTATATGTATTTTTCTTTTTATTAATTTTCTTTTTATTGTTTAATCCATTGTCCGTAAAAAAAAATTTATTAATTCCAAGCCATGTGTCCACTAATTTATCATTGTTTATAAAAAACAAAATTACGATCTAAATCAATAAAAATTAATTTTAAAAATGACAACCAAAGAAGAAATTAAAGAAAAATTAAACATTGGGATGTTGAAGGAGGTGAAGGGGAAATTGAAGAAGTTTAAAGAAGGGGAGGATGATGGGCAATGGTTGAAGAAGTTGAGGAGTAAGACAAGAAGTAGCAATCTTAGTGAAACAGAGGAGCAAGAGAAGGCGAGGCTGGAGGAAGAAGAGAAGAGGTTGAAAAAAAAAGAGGAGAGGTGGGGAAACGAAGTAGTAGAATGGAATAAAAGGTTGCGTGAATTCAACGAAGAAAAAGGTAATGAACAAATTGCGTAAAAAAATATACAAAAAATTATTTTTCGTTCTTTCCATTTATTTTACACTTTTTCCTTCAATAATTCAATTTCGATACTTTTTCATTCTTTAATCGGTGAAGGCAAGTACTTTTATACACCGGATATGGTGTTAATTTGTTTGTCTCTATATATGTTCTTTTAGTACTTAATAATCTCTCCCTTGCACAAGCCTCTCAAAAATATGTCATTACTCCTAAATTTATTTTGTCTTGGATTCAAAAATATAGAAGACCAACTAATGAAGTTCCTCCGAAGGTAAATTAATGCAGTATTGCATATTGATATCCTAATTTATTTACTTACCATGTTTTGTGTTCCTACTATTCCAGCTTATAGCCACATATGGAAATAATTTCAAGTTTCTTGGTAAAGAAGAAACAACAGAACAGCTTTTGAATGGAACCTTAAATAAAAATGGTATTATAAAACGTTATTATGCACATCGGAATAAATTAAGGATCGTAATTTTCACCCAATTCCGTTTATTGCAGCAGGACCTGGGTACTGGGAAAACTTGGGTATTAGAAGAAAGTTTGAATATGTTGAAAAAATGTGTAGAAAAGATGATGATGTTGATTTAAAAGAACTGGTATATAATGCTGTGCTGATTGATGCTACATATGGGAATGGTTGTGCTGCTTCTGCAACAGATAGTAATATTGGTGGTGAAACAAGTTTGTCATTAAGAGCATCAGGAAACTTTTCCCGCCATAATATTACATCCGTAAGTTTTAATATGAAATGTCGTAATATTACGCATAAAAAGGACATAATATTTACACTGAATGTAATAATTGCGTAATTTTTGCGTAATTTTGCATAATATTACACTATTTACGTAAGTTTACGGCGGGCCCCGTAATATTACGCAAATTTGCGTCAGAAAAAATTTCCTGATGAGTCCTCTATTGCGGTCACGTTTACTTCGTCGAAAATTATTTCGTCGACAATCATTTCGTTGAAAGTTTGTTTGATCGAAAGTTCGTTTCATCGAATGTTCATTTCGTCGAAAATTATTTCATCCTCGAGCCAGATACCGAACGAGTTAGGTGTGAGGAGTGTGGAAAGTTAGTTAAGAAATTAGGTGAGGAAAGCGGAGTGTGTGGGAAGTGTGAGGAAAAATTTGTTTAATTAAGTTTTTTTTTTTTGTGATGAAATAATTTCGACGAAATGAACATTCAACGTAGTGAACTTTCGATGAAACAAACTTTCGACTAAATGGGTGTCGACGAAATGAATCAGACCCATATTTTTTTACAACATAAATAATTAAATATATAAAAAATGACTTCCACACATTTATTTTTTAACAATGTTTTTACTGAAACGCATCCCAGTTTAATTGAGTTAGAAGAATCCTTTGCTAATTTGAGAATAGGTTATATGCCTAATTCAATTATCAACAAAAATGAATAAATAGTTAATGAAGCAGAAGAAAGGCATAATGTAGTGGAAGAAAGTTAAAATAAAATAGAATTACTGATTGACAATCACTAATGTTGAATGTCAAAAATGCATCATCGATGATGACATGATTAGATGATACCTGACAAAATGTTTTTTGTCATAATTAAACATAATAAATTTATATTCATTGAAATGTCAAATGGTAGTCAGCTTCAATTTGTAAATGTTAACTCAAGTGTTGATGATAATTTATTTCATCAATTCATTAATGGCATAGGAGACTTTGATGAACCTTTCTTTGAAGTTAACATAGCTTTAATAGGACAGGTTTCTGCAGGAAAATCAATTAATTGGCCAAATAAATCTTGAACTAGAGATAAATCTGTTTTTCTTTTCATTTATCGGATCAACTCACTTATTTCACTTATCAAAAAATTATGATATTGATCCAGAATTAAAAGAGCACAACAATCATATTTGTTATATTTGTAGTCCTACTCTAAGCCTAGAAACATCTTCATCAAATCAATCACCTTTAGACACTGTTGGTTCTCAAACTCATACTAAAAACAAACAATTTATGGGGAGAAAGTAAAAAAAGGAGCATTGCTTGGAAAGTATCTCTTTAAATGAAGCCCCATCAGAAGTCCAAAATGCTCAAAATCTTAATGATGAATCTAACTCATTACAGCAAGATTACTTTTTAATGCAATGCTTAGAATATGAAAGCATAATAACTCAAACATTAGTAAACATTTAGATGAAATTGATAGATATTTAGATAAGGCAATAACACCAGTTCCTGATGAAAATATTAATGCGGAATGCCGCAGAAATCACGGAATGTGTAATTAAAAAGAGAAAAATACTATGTTGTTGTTGTTGTTGTTGTTGTTATACAACAACAATGTAGCCACCCGAAGGGTCCATTATTACCATTATTTTTATTGATTCTCAATCATCTTTCAAGATTCATTTTTTGTTGAGAGAAGTGAAGGCAGCAATCCTATCTTTCCAGACTTGTTCAGCCTTTTAATCAAATAATTCTTCTTGTCAATTTTTTGGTAAATAATATGTATGGAGTTGGTTATTGTAGTGATGTTAACCGGCCAAAAAAAAATTTCTCTTGACGTCTGGAGTTTCAATTCTGAATTCAATGGGATAGACATTTAGTTGATGTGGGTTCATCTGCATTACTTAGAATGACAAAAAACATACTAGCCGGACAACATTTCACAGTGACTGATTTTAATATATGATCGACATGACACGTTTTCTGTACAATGGACTTTGGCGAATGAATTGAACGTAAACTCATTATTAAACAATTTTCGTGCCTCTAAGTAAAAACAATCACTTGCCTTTGACCTTTAAAACGCGAGCTTTATGCATTTGTAGCTCTTCCAGTTATGGAGTAATAGCCTCTCAAAGAAACCTATGGTTTTTGACTTCGGAAGCTTAATTCTTTTCGGAAATCAGCTCTATTGAGATCGTTTTAGCATGATAAGACAGAGTACATTAAGAGCTTTCAGAAAATATATGATTCGGATGGTTTTCTTGGGGAAGGAAGAAATTAAAAGCAAAAAACGGTTTTATAAGTTATTTATTATTATATATAAGAGCTTTTAACAAATTTTTTTTTCGCATTACTGTTTTCTAACTTTTATTATATTAATATTAATAATGATTAGATAATATATGAAAACACAATCTTTTAATTGGAGTTTCTACTCAAAAGGTTACAAAAGAAAAAATATTTTAATATATTGATTAATATTTCAACTTAATAAATTATTAATTATTAATATAATCTTTAAATTGAACTTTTGTTTTTTTATTTTTATTGTGAAGAATTTTTAAGATAGTATGAATTAATGACAAAAATAAGAAAAACAAGATAATCTCAAAATTGAATGAACAGATAACAAAAAGGAAAACTATTAAATATTAGTATTAGGTATCAAAAATTATATTAAATGAAATTTAATTAATATATTTATTAGATTTTTTTTTTTTTGTCAATATTTAATTGATTATTTGTTACATGTTAAAAATTAAATATGAAAAAAATATTTTAAATGATTATATGGCTAAACAATGTACCACTAAAGAAAAGTTTGTGATCTCACTGAGTT